TAAGGGCAATATCAGCTCTAAATTATTCTAAAATTCAAAAAGAGAGAAAAGTTAGAGGAAAGAAAATTTAAGAGAAGAACAGAAACACTTCTCATGATTGTACTAATACAAGAAATATGAGAAAAGTACTCAGGTTTGACAAATACCAAGGAAAAAGCAAAAGGAAAAACCTGTGGCCACAACTTTTCCTACCACAGATTTCCATGGCAGCTTTCCCAACAGACCAAAATAAATGAGGATTAAGTGGAAGGGCCAAAGTGAGAACAACATTCCCGTGTGCATTAGAATGACCCCACCCACACCCTCCCTCTCCCTCAGCTGAGGATTCTGATACCACACCTGTTCCTGGGTGTCCTGCCTTTCCTCTGGTCTCCATGCACAGTTTGCGGGAAGCAGTGTCCCCGCTCCCTCCCTCAAAGACCAGATTCTAGTCTGGTCTCCATCCCTTCGACACTAGGAAAGGGCATGCTTTTTTTCCCCTAAAGGCCAGGTAGTAAATATTTTAGGCTTTGTGAGCACATGGTCTCCCTTAAACTATTCTGCCATTGTAGAGTAGAAGCAGCCAGCGACAATACAGAAACAAAGGGGTGTGGCTGTTCCAATAAAACTTCACTTATAAAACAGGTGGCAGCCAGACTTGGCCCATGGGCCATAGTTTACCAACCTGTCCTAGATCATCTCATCAGTTTACACTCACGCTCTAAGACCATCTTAAAACAGACACCCTCCCCACATCCCCGCAGTCCTCTCCACTTACTGCTCCTCCAAGAGACTCCAAATGCTTCCCTGTGCTTGCCCCCCAGCCACCAGCCAGGAATCTCCCCCTCCAGACAGGCTCCTGTCCCCGCCACTAGCTGACACTTCTCTGTCCAGGCCTCCAGGTGGCCAAATCCAATGCCCACATCTGTTCTAACCTCTGTCCAACACACCTGCCCATCTCCTGAGACACATCACGTCTTGGTTTCCCGGATACCATGCTCCCCTGGTCTCCCACTCCCTGGGGCCTGTCTTCAGTCTCCTCTGCTGATTCTTCCTCTTCCACCTGACTGCTAAATGCTGGAATGACCAGGTCACAACCTTGGTCCTCTTAATCAATACTCTCTAAGTGAGTCAACACAGTTTCACAGCATTAAATATCACCTTCCAGCTGTTGCCTGGCCTGCCAAACTTTCCTCTCCAGCCCAGACTCTCTGAGACTTGAGTATTGCCTGGGCGTCTCCACATGACCATCTAACAGGCATCTGCAATTTAGCAAGCCCCTCCTTCTGCTCCTGCATTTCAGTGAAGGCACTGCCAGGTGAGTTCTCCTGGATCCCCTCTTCCTCATCCCTCTCAATCTGTCAGCAAGTTTTGGCAGTTGTATCTCACATCTGCCGTCTGCACCGCCCCCCATCCCCACAGCCACACGACTATGCAACACTGTCATTACTCTCCTGGACAACTTCCCACCTGACCTCCTTGTTTCACTCTGCCTCCCACTACCGGTTCTCTAGCCAGCAGCCAATGTGACAGTCATAAAACAAAATTAGAAAATATCATTCTTCTGCTGAAACCCTTCCCCATGTACCTCGAGTAAAGTCCAAAGTCGCCACCCAAGTCATGTAGGCTTTACTAACTACAGCCTCACCGACCAGCCCGTACCCTCTCTCTGCTCTGCTCTGTTCCTGTCTCAGGCTCCCCACCTGCTGCTCCTGGGACTCTGAACAGCCAACTCTACCTCACTCTCCAGGCCTCTGCTCCAGTGGCATCCTTGCCCCTTCACCAACCACAGCACTCACCAACCACAGTACTCACCATAATTCCAAAAAGCCTGTGAATGTGCTTACACGTTGACCAACTCAGTCAAAACAATGGAGAAGGCAAACATTACAAGGAGGGTGCCTTGTGCACAATGCTGGTGCATCATAGGAACCCATTAAATACGTGTTGAGTGAACCACAAATCATATGATGTGAAAACATTAACTGTGTCCACTGTGGACAGTTTTCTTCCATCTATCTGCTGAACTAGGTCTTCACTCTATGCTAAGTTCACAGAGTCCTTATTTGGTCCTCACCTGCTGTAAACTGGAACCCACATCTTCCAGTGAAAACACAACATGCCTGCTGAATTAGGGAGAAGAGGTCATGGCAAGGTACCTCAAGAGTCTTTGAGACTAATCCACACAGTGATGCTCCTGGGGAAGAAATGAATGGTCACAGGGACTGAACTAATTAACACACTGCAATTAGTATAATGGATCTCTCTTAGCACTTCCATCAGACCTGTGTTCTGGAGTAGACTCAGTATCAAGTAAACATCCTATTTTTAGTTAATTTCCAAAGTAACAGACTAAGCAACATTTTATACACCTTCCAATAACTCCTGACCACAAGAAGGCTTAGAGTCAGAACACTGGGAGCAGTGTCTCCAGGCACCAGTGGCCAGTCTTTTCCATTACCTTCACCTCCTGCTCCTCAGAGGCTCTCACTTTCAACCGGGGAGGTTTGCAGGTGTTCGTTTCATTACAATAACATAGCCTATTCACATGGTACGTGCTATCTTTCTAACCTCTCAGAGCAGACAACTAGGATTTTATGTTATTCCCACTGCATCTCCTACAAAATGCTAACTTTTAAACTCCACTCCTGCCATTTTTCTTTCTGGCCCTCTGTGGGGTGTGTCACTGAGATGTGACAAGGCTTAGAGCAGTACCCTGCTCCCAGATTCTGAGTCAGGTCTGGGTGGGGCCCAAGAATGTGCATTTCCCACCAGTTCCCAGGTGATGCCAGGGCTGCCGTCTAGTGGCCTTGGAGGGACACAGACCTGTGTTCCAGTCCCCTGTTCTCACTAGTTATGTCAGGGCCTCATGCGTATAGTTGTGATAATACTGTCAACACCAGCGAGCCATCATGTGAACTAGGGGAAATACAGGACAAAATGCCTGGCCCAGGGCAAATGCTCAAGAAAGGAGACCTTCTTTCCTACCCTGAGTTACTGGTTCAGTTGCCCCAACAATCCTGGGGAGCATGTGGACCTGCTGGCCTAAAGCGTCCCCTTTCTCATGAAACTTAGTCTCAACCACAGAGCTTCAGAAGCTAGAATCCTGGGATTCTTCCCAGGCAATGTCTATCTGAATTTCATATTTCCCCTGTGAGGCAAACTTTGAGCCATATTTCTCAGTTCTTTAGACAATTATGAACATTCTGCTTCCCACACTTTTTCTATTTGCCTTCCATGATCTGCACTCACCACAACTAAAACCAAATAATTAAGGAACATCTGGTCAATATGTGGCAAGAAATTGACATCTGTTAATCTTTTTAAAAAAGTTAAAAGCAGCAAAAGCTTATATATATAAACTTACATACATATAAAATAGAAAGAGAGACTGTGTCTTTGTGTATGTGCGCGCGCGTGCGCACGCGCGTGTGTGTGCGTGTGTGTGTGTGTGTGTGTACAGGGAGGGACAAAGAGAAAAAAAATGAATGAATGAGTGCATGCCTGGAAGGATAACTCTATATCAAGAAACAAAAGCTGCTCATCTCTGGATGGAATTAAGGGTGACTCTTTTTCTCCATTTTAACTTCCCAGTGCATTCTAACTTTCTGCCCAACACTGGCCCAATGAAGAATTCCACAGCTTGACCATGTGAGGTACAATGAGACAGACTGGGAAGGGAGCACAGTGCACACAGAATCACACAACCCCTCACACTGCTCTGGTTGCAACGAACTCTCCACTCCAACATCTTGCCCATGTTCTCAGCTCCCACTTTAGACCCCTCCTATACCTGGACTTCAGACTCTCCCTAACTCACTTTTTCCTAGTCCTCCCCTTCTCTGCCTTTCCCCACTTCTGGTCCTCGCTGTTCACCTTCTGCATAAGCTTCATACTCCTTGGAAAGAGTCCCCCCTCAAGCCCCGCTCCAAAGCTCAGAGCCCTCATATCCCCAGAATCTCACTTATGCCATCTATAAGGGTAAATAAACAAGATTACATCTTCACTGTTTAACAAAGGGGAAGAAGTTGCCCCTTCCCTGCCCTTTGAGTGTTTCCTTTAGTCAAGAATGAAACAAACTCAGTGTTCAGATTTTACAGGGCACAGTCACCACCTGCTGACTCAGAGCAGTAAACACGGACCTCCAGAACTGAGGCAGGAGTCACTCATCAGCTGCAGACTACACTGGTGCATCTATTTTTCTCTCAAGGAGATGAGAGAGGTCTTAACAGTTCATTCTTCTACTTCCTTGTGTATAAAATGTGTGACGTTCTGCCCAGCTCTGTACTCTCTTGAAGATGCCTTACATGCATGTAATCTGCTCATACAGTAATGAAACTGTTTTCTTCCTTTCCATATTGATATGGGTAGGAAAGACATCTATTTCTCCAACATGCTGAGACCCTGACGTGTCACCCCCACCCAAGTTCCTCTTTGATGTCCCCCATTTCAGGTCTGCTGGTGTGCACAGCCTCATATCCCCACCCTTGATGCCCCCACACCTTCACTTCAGACCCACCCTATTCCCCCAGCAACCCCTCCGGGTCCCCACCATTGCCCTAGTCCCCCAGCATGCCTCCAGGTCCCCACCATGCCCTTCAGGTCCCACCATCCTCTCCTAGTCCACAGCATTTCTTCCGGGTCCACAGCATTTCCTCCGGGTCCCCAGCATCGCCCTAGGCCCTCAGAACCTCCCTAGTCTCCCAGCATCCCCACCAGGTCCCACCATCACCGGCAAGTTACAGCATTCCTTCCAAGTCCCCATCAGCCCCCTAGGCCTCCATCATCGCCCTAGTCCCCCAGCATCCCCTCCAGGTCCCCAGCATCCCCTTAGACACCCAGCATCCCTCAGGACACTACCTTTGGCCCTTGTGCCTCTCTGGTAGCCCAGCCCACATCCCACCACCTTCCGTAGTCCTTGGAGCATTGAAAAGAGGAGGAGTCCTCACTTCGGCGGTAGCGTTAGGAGGGACCCTGACGGAAGAGCACAGGCCCAGCTGCAGACTGGAGACACGCCTTACCTGAGTCGCGGGGGAGGCGCGAAGTCGACAAGACTGGGGGCCGACACCGTTCAACAATCTCTGAAGCCGCGGGGGCGGGGGAACCTGGAGCTGGGAGGATCGTGCTGTGGGCCGCTCCTGTGCCTGCGCCGGGTGAGGGCCGTAGAATGCAGCGAGCATGCGCCCAAGAACTGGCTCGCCGTGTTTCAGGCTCGGCCAGGAACTTAGACCGCGGGCTCTAGGTTCCGCTCGAGTGCTCCGGGACGACCGCGGCCTATGAGTGTCTGTACCTCGCCGCTTTCGCTCTGGCCGGCGCGGGGCTGTGAGGCGCGGGTGCTCAGAGCGTGTACTCCGGAAGCAGGTTTAACAAATACTTCCTTTTTCACCTCCCTGTTTAAAGAGCAGAGAAGTGGGAAGCCGGAAGCCGGATTCTGGGCCTCCAGGAGCACTCCGTCCCCAGCAGCTCCTCCGACTCCGCGCAGCCTCTGTGACCGCCCCGCAGCCCTCCTTGTGCCCTGCAGCTCCTCCGACACCCCCCCGAGCCCCGCCCTGTTCCCGGCAGCCCTCCAGATCCCCCCGGCAGACTCCCACCCCACTCATCCCGCACGCCAGGGACGGCGAACCTGGCCCGGGATGGACAGGGAGGCGCGCGTGTTCGCCGAGAGCCACTTCCGAGGCCTTGAGGGGTGTCTCCCCCGCAGGGTCTGCCCGAAACTGGACCGCGTGGACTTCATTGAGAAGCCGGACTCCTTTTCCTACGCCGACTTTTTCAAGGGTTACCTGCTCCCTAACTTACCCTGTGTTTTCTCCAGCGCCTTCACCGAGGGCTGGGGCAGCAGGAGGCTCTGGGTGACACCCAGTGGAAAGCCCAACTTCGATTATCTGCTTCAGAACTATGGTAAGGACTGAGCGCGAGTGCCCCGGGCAAGAACAGCATGGAGTGCAAACACAGGACTAGACTCTTAGGTCGGACTGTGAGGGAGGGCGCAAATGAGGACAGCCACAGAGGGCTTGAGGGAGGCAAGGCATGAGTCACTCCCCAGAAGAATTCACCTGGAGACGGTGTAGCAATGAGTTGGAGGGCAGACAGGGTCAGGGAGGATTGACAGGCTGGAGGACTCAGAAAAGTCTTGTCCCTGACCCTTTCTTTCAGGAGACGTGGTTGTACCTGTTGCAAATTGTGGGGTCCGGGAATACAACTCCAACCCCAAAGAACACATGACCCTCAGGGACTACATCAGCTACTGGAAAGAGTACATTCAGGGAAACTACTCCTCTTCACGGGGCTGTCTCTATCTCAAAGACTGGCATCTGTGCAGGTAAAGGAGCCTGGAGCACTGGCCACAGCACTGCTTTTCAGTTCTGAGTGAGCCCTGGCTGCACACGGAGGAACTCATCTTTTCCCCAGTTGGGAATTTAACCCACTTTCCTCGGCCTGGTTGGAAGTGTCATTCTCTCCAATCATGGCCATCTCACCATGCCTGCACAGGCTTGGTTGCTATGAGGAATGTGGGCCTGGCAGAGGCACAGATGGGCTATGGTTACTCACCTCTTCTTTGTCACATTTGCCCAGAACCATGCTTGTCAGCTTCACCTCCATCTAACTGGCAGCATCCAGCCTTTGCCTGTTCTCTCAGATGCCCCTGGGACCAGCCTCCCCTGTCCAGACCTACTTCTCCAAGTCAGGCCTGTTATCATCCACCTTGGCTGTTGCCAGTCTCCAGACTAGCTGCCCCGCCTCAAGTCCTGCACCCCACTGCTAAAGTCCAAGTGAGCTTTCAAGCAGGACTGTGCCCCAACCATTTAAAATCTCCATCACTAACAAGCAATGCCAACTCTTTAACAAGGCCTTCCGAGATCTGTTGCCACTACCATATGCTTCTTCCACCTGGGGAGCTCAAAGGATGTGCTCTGAGAAACGCCTCGCTCTTGAAGGCAGCCCCACCCCTTCTGCTGGCCTTCCCACTCTCTGAGGTGGTCCTTAGGTTTTGTAGCCATTTCCCCTGCCAGGGGTATGCTTTTCACAAGCAGAGAGGAGGTCCTAGTCAGACCCCCGCCATCTAGCACAGGGCCCTGGCACCGATCAGGTGCTCATTTAATGAATGAGTGAACAGTGGAATTCTTGTTTTGCTGATGCAGGAACTAAGACTCAAAAAAGAAAAAAAAAATTCAGGCCCTTGTGATTCCCAAGAGCAATCCAAGAGTACATGAAGGGCACGAGCATCCTGCTCAAAGTTTGCCCTTGGTACTGTCTGCCACACAGCTTCTTACTTGTCAGAGAGACCTGGCCCGGCAGACAGTCACTAAGATGCAACCAGACTCTGGTCCTAGACTTCATGGACTCATATTCCAACAGCACAGATGGACTTATAGATTCAGACACTCGTGCACTGTGAATTTGTGCTTCAGATAAGCAACGAGTAGTTTTTTGGGTATAAGTATGTCCCAGGTATTACAAGGGGCATACTTATCCTAGAAACTTGTTCACTGTTTATTTGAAATTCAGTCTTGAGGAAGTGTCTTGCGTTTTCCTTGGCAACCCAAAAATAAAAAGAACAAAGGAAGGCCTGGATCAGGCACGCAGGGGTAGCCACATGGGAGGTGATATCTGAGCAGGGTTTTGAACGATAAGCAGGAGACTGTCACTGTACAAAGGCATGGCAGCGGAGGGACCTGCATGGTGTTCTGGGGAACTACTGGTGGTTTGGTACTACTAAGGCTCTCCCCTGTCATGGGCTCTGACCGAGAGTGTTGTGTGACCATGTTGTTGGTAGAACTGCACTCTCCCTTGGGCTGGTTTAGAATGCTCCTCTGTTTGGGACCCCATTGGTTGGGTTGTGGGGATGGATCCAGGGAAGTGAGGGGTTGAAAAGGACCTCCGTGTACCTGGGCTGTCCTCACGCCTGGGCCTGTGGCTTTGAATCTTCTCAGCAGAATCAAGGTCACTGGTGTGGTTAAAAGAGTGGAGGAGGCCCCCAAATTCTGGAAACCAGCATGATGCAGATGATGCATTTAAACCCCAGCTCAGCCCGAAGCTGAAATCCTGGAATGGGTGTGGGAGTGGCCAGGAACATCTAGTCACTGCCTGTACAAGTTGTCTAGGCTGTGTCACAGCACCCCCAAAACCATTTCATCTGCTTACAACTCTGGTTCAGTCATTTGGGCAGGGATCAGCTAGGGCTACTTGGGGCTGTGGTCATCTGGTGGCGGGTCTATGGCTGGGTGGTCTGAGGTGGCCCCACTTCTGGTGGTTGGTGCTGACTCCAGAAGGCAGGTCAGGGGTCATTCACATAATTTCAAAGCTCTCATGATATTTCATGCACTCAGGACGTGGGTGCCGGGAGGTTGGCTTGTAGCCACTTCTGTAGCTTCATGCCACTTTCTAAAGGGACTCCTCGGCGGAGGGCGTGTTCACCCTGCCCATATACTTCTCATCTGACTGGCTCAACGAGTACTGGGATGCCCTGGACGTGGATGACTACCGCTTCATCTACATGGGGCCCACCGGCACCTGGTAACCGCCTGTCTGCTCCCACCCACCATCCTACACCCCGTCCCTGGTCACTCTCCTGAACCTTCCTGCTGGTGTGTCAGCTCTTGCCCAGAGCCTCTCAGAGATTCCTGTTAGCCACGTAATGGAGTCGGCTGCCAGGTCTGGCATTTCTAAGCCCACTTACCTCTTTCCTCTGTGGAAAGAGCTCGTGCACCTCCTGTGTGATGTTCTGGGGTGGGGGAGGCTTGGCCCTCCCACCTGGCTCACAGGCCAGGTGTGAGAGCTGGGGACCACTGAGCCTGGCCAGTCTACTCAGAAGAGGCAAAGCCCACATCCAAGCCACGCAGCACCAACAGAAGCTCTCGCACAGGTCGCCGTTCCATGCTGACATTTTCCGCTCCTTCAGCTGGTCTGTCAACATCTGCGGGAGGAAAAAGTGGTTCTTCTTCCCACCGGGGCAAGAAGAAGCCCTGCGGGATTGCCACGGTAGCCTGCCCTACGACGTGACCTCCCCCACACTCCTGGATAGCCGCCTACACCCCATGCGAGATCACTGTAGCCCCCCACTGGAGGTCACACAGGAGGCAGGCGAGATGGTGTTTGTGCCCAGTGGGTGGCACCATCAAGTCCACAACCTGGTATGCTGGGCACTCCCTACCCCATGTGCTGTGGCCCAGATGGGTCAGGGAGACAGGCCACAGGGCTCCACTGAGCTGACTCTTACCCCCGTTCACCTGTGCCCCTTGGCCTGCTCAGCAGCTCTTCTTGCCCTCGGCACCTTCCTAAATGCGTTCCTGCAGAGAGAGGGCTGAGCCCACCCGCCCTGATCCCATAGAGTGGGCAGGCTGTCCCTCTGGGAGAGCCTGGGTATGGGATGGGGCAGGCCATGGGCAAGGCTGGTACTGCGTGTGGCTATATTGGTTCCCTGCACGCAGCACTGCTGAGGGCCCCCAGCCTCTTTCCCTCCCTCCCATGTTGCTTTCCTGGGCAACAGTGGGCAAGGGGTCCACACACTGTGGTGTCCCAGCCCTTACGGAGCCCCATTCTGGGCTAATTGTGGATTCAAATGATCCCAGCTCCCTCTTCTCTGCTGGCTCCCATTGGGAGATGGAAGCAACTCCTCCCAGCGGAGGAAAGCTGAGCGGACCTCAGGACGGGGAGGGGATGGTGCCCCCTGTGGGCTCACGGGGACAGCCTGTGCCCTACCCCTTCCAGGAGGACACCATCTCCATCAACCACAACTGGGTCAACGGCTGTAACCTGGCCAACATGTGGCACTTCCTGCAGCAGGAGCTCTGTGCTGTGCAGCAGGAGATCATTGAGTGGAGGGACAGCATGCCCGACTGGCACCACCACTGCCAGGTGGGACAACGGGTCTGAGCAGGAGGGGGGCACAGGATGAGGCTCACCAGGGCTATCTATAGTGGGAGGATTGGTAGGGGGCTCACCTGAACCAGGACCACAGTCAAGGGCAAGAGGGTGCTCACCTGGCCCAGGGCGTCAGTGTGGGGAGGGTATGGAAAAGCCCCAGGACAGCCTGCAGTCTTAAGGGAGGGTGTGGTCTCTAAGGTCAGATCTGTAGTCTTGGGGGCCTGGTGGCAACCAGGCCTACCTATTTGAGTGAGGGTTCTGGGGCTTTCAGGCTGCAGGACTCAGACCCATTTGATCACTGGCTGGCCCCCAGGTGTCTCCATCCTCGAGGACTGGACTGTGTCTCAGGGCCCTTTGTAGCCTAGACTCGATGCAGGGTCAGCAGAACTTGCCTAGAGCTGTGAGTGAGCAGCAGCTCACTGGTTGTTCTTTCTGGCCCAGGTCATCATGAAGTCCTGCTCCGGGATTAATTTCGAGGAATTTTATCACTTCCTCAAGGTCGTTGCTGAAAGGAGGCTTCTCCTCCTGGCGAAGGGGATGGGTCCTGGCAAGGTGGAGGGCGACAAGGGCACCAGGCTGGGCCCCCAGCAGGCCGCTTTTGACATTTGCCGCATAGCTGAGGTGCTGGAGTCCGTCGTGGCCCACCCTGACTTCCAGAGAGTGGACACCAGTGCATTCTCACCACGGCCAGAGGAGCTCCTACAGCAGCTGGAGGAGGCCGTGGCCACCACCACATCCCTTTAGTGCATGCTGCAAGGATCGGGTGCAGCACATCCTTGGGGGACCCTGGAGGCACCAGTGTGGAAGGCAGTCACCCTGTGCAAGGGTCCCTTCTGGAAATAAAGCTCTGTCCTCCTTTGTGGCCTGGGATGTGTCACCTCCCTGTTGAACTGTCACCTCGGCGTCCCAGGCACAATTCCTGCTCTTTGGGGTCTGATATGTCCTGGCTGTCTCTTGGCATCCCTGGGGCCCCAATGCCTGTCCAGAGGGTCCAGGCTCCTTGTCCTCGTGAGGCCCAGCCAGGACTGGGAACTGGATCCGG